CGCGCTGGTCTAAGGCCCGCATGATCCGCCGTGTTGCATAAACGAGTCTCTGATCCGACGCAAGGCCAGGCAGGCTCGCGCCGCGGCCGCCGCGTGCTGCTGAGCTCACTCGAATCCGAGCCGCCTCCCCGGCTCCCATGTATCGCCCAGTGCTGACCGCCAACGGCCGATAGAGGCCCCCAGGCGACCCCTGTCGGCGTCCCTGCAGCCCCTGACGCCGTGCTGACGACACGCCGCGAGTCGGCGCGTCTGGAGTCGCGCGCCGCCGCGTGAGTCACACCCGACCGAGTCGCGCGCAGCTCATGACATCATGGCGCCGATAGGCGGCGGGCGGGGGCGCTGCGCGGCGGCCCGAGTCACGCGGCCCCCCGCCCGCGCCTGGGTCCGGTTCTACGCTCGGGGACCGAGGGCCGGCGCAGACCGCAGCCAGAGGCGCGGACGGGCAGCGCGCTGTGACTCAGCCGACATTCCACGCTGAGCCCAGTTGTTTCCACCGCAGTCTTGGGAGCGGTCCTTCGACGGTTCCGCGCCATAAGTGTGGCTGTTTGAAACGTGCAGTCTTCGGAAGTACACAATGGTGCACTTCCGAAAGCTGGCACTTGCAAACGCGATGGTATGCATGCCATTTATCCAGTGAGGGATTCCTTCCCACAAAACCTCTTTGCGTTCACTGCGGCGTTATTCGCGACAATAATCGCAGGAATTCCAGGGTTTACTGCTGCATTGTTCGATATTCTTGCTGGGCCTGCGGTGAGGGACCTGTGTGAGTGTGGGGTAGCCGGGTGAGGGACCTGTGTGAGTGTGTGGTAGCCGGGTGAGGGACCTGTGTGGGTGTTGGATAGCCGGGTGCCGTCGGCAGCTCGCTTCCACCGGCGGTGGTCGGCCGGGCGAGCGGGCTCGGCGGCCGATCGGGCGAGCACGGGGCCCAGCGCGCTGTGACTCACGCGGCGACGGGGCGGCCGGCTCGCTGCTGTGTGTAACGGCAGCCGCCGGCCTCCGAGCGGGATCACACATCGGGCGGACCCGCCCCGGCCGCCGGCGCCGGCGAGCCCAGACACTGCCGCTGCTCACATGCACGGCTCCGGCCGGACGGATAGCGCGGGCCGGAACCGCGCTGTCGCAGCGAGCGCTTCAAAGCGTCGTCGGACGGGCGGCCCGACAAAAGCCGGATCCACGGACGCCGTCGCAGGGCGGCAGCGGCTTGCCCGTCCCCAGCCCTGGCATGACGGACGCCGAGGCTATGCGGTCAGCGGGGAAGTCCTGACACTCGAAGCCGGCCACCAGACGGCTCCGATCGGTCGCTTGACTATCTGAGCCGGGCGGCACCGTCCGCCGATGTCAGGCGCGCCGTCCGCCGGTGTCAGGCGCGCCGTCCACCGGTGTCACGCGCGCCAGCCGACCCAGGGGGCCAGCAGGTCACCAGCGGCCACCGACCGGTCAGCTGGGTCCGTGGAGTGCGCCCGGTGCACACATGGAAGGGCGCGAGTATGTTGCAATATGGACAGACAAGCCCGGGAGGGCCACGTGTATTTGCTGAAGTGCGATGATTGTCGCAGACCTAGCGTTCTACGACGCTAAAACTATCAAATGCAATGTTACTCTTATACAAAACTACTCCGTTCCCAGACAGTCGCGGATGCCGATGCCGATGCCGATGCCGATGCCGATGCGAAGCTTCAGCTGTCTGCCCCGGAGTCTCCACGGGCTGTAGCATCAGCGGGACCGTATATGCTGAATCCCAGCATGCTAATTCTCACAGTCATTGCCGTGGTCGTCCTCGAGGACCTGTCGAATGTCCGCGCACCGTTTGATGCGGCAGATGTGGGAGTCGAACGAGCAGCGAGCCTCTCAGCGAGCGGTTTCCACATGTGTGCGCCTTCCTGAGGCCGTTCAGCGTCGGCGCGCGTGCAGGGGCGCCGAGAATACGCCTCGACAATCGCGGCGCCGCTCATGCAATGCTGCGCGGATCTGCACTGCTACCGCGCCATCGTGGGCAAGCGAAGTCCATATTTGCTCACGACACCGAACGTACCGTGGCCGGGGAATCTGAGCGGCGGGCGTTGTTAAAAGGTGTAATTTCGCTGTGAGCGATATGCACGCTGTCGTATTATGACGTATCACCCAGTCATTACCGACATGCACCGTCACCGTAGTATTTGACAGCTGCTGGACCCCCCAGTCTCCATACGGCTGCTCAGTGGTCGTGCAAAGCAAAATCGCCGGGTTGCGCAGTTTTGCCGGCGCTGCGAGGCGCAGGGGTGTGACTGCCAGCACTTAGTCAGTCGCTCGCCCCTCATAGCCAACAAGGTTATGGACACATGCCGAACTGGCACTTACCAGCGAGCCAAGCGTGGCAGGCCAGCTGGATTTCCAAGTTTCTCAATGCTCATCAGATGCCTCAGTAAAGGTGATTAAATCGCAACGTACCGAGAAAATACTGTTGGCGGCACTCAACGCAGCGAACGTTGGCTTACGTCATAATCTTCCCAAAGCTTGGCGGAGCGAAGGTCCAGCTATCAAGCACAACGAAGAATCATCTATTCAAACAGCACATACCTCGACTGCTTGTCATTCTAGCGTGTAACGTTCGTTAGCTTTTTGCCCGTGTATTTTTTTTTGTAGAAGAAGGTATGCACGGTACACGAGACCGCCAGTTGAAAGCCGAAACATGGTACAAGCGACACTCGGGAAATTAAGACTCTAATGGTCCGTCAACAATGAAATCATCCGCCATCCATCCGTCCAGGCGATGTTTCACATCGAAGGAACTTCATAGCTCCAGAGAAAAGCAAACGCACGCTTTTGATAGGGACAGGAAACCCAATTTAAGAGGAACACGCTCAGATTTCAACCGGCAAATTATTGAATTTGATAATCATAGCAGCAAACCCAGCTATGCGGCCTCATCCACTAATAATCAGCGCCTGACGTTTCCCACAAAGCGAGTGACAGGTGAACAGAAGCCCAGTGAAACGGTCCGATGAAATGGCTTTACATGTCAGAACACGAGGCCATACAAAGTGACGCAGGGCCTCGACGTTCCCAACCCTGGATCGATATGAAGTGTGGCTGACCAGCAGACGTCCTCTCCATGACCTTGCCAGCCGTCTGCAGAGGCTGGCGGGATGTTCAGCTGCCGGGCGGCTGACAAGCAACGACATGCAGACGGAGCTCTGCTGAGGACAGCGGGGGGGGGGGGGGGCGACTGAGGACCACACAACACCCCAGGAACGGGGCCCTGATGAGGACAGCGGGGGAGGGGCGACTGAGTATCACAGCACACCCCAGGAACGGAGCCCTGCGGAGGAAGCCGGAGGACATTTGAGGACCGAGCATCAGAGACCGCCGGAGGACCCGCAGACCCTGGCCGGGGCAGAGTGAGATGCTCCAGCGTTCGGCGCCGGACTTCTGAGAGGGACACGACGGGTCCGCGGGTGGTGTGTGTTACCGCGGAAGGCCTCCTGAGGTAGGGCGGGTCCTGTCGCCAGACGACTGGTAGTACTGATGCAACCACCGGCTGCGGGGGCGACCGAGCCCCAGCGACCAGCACACATCACGGCTGGAGCAGGGCGAGAGGCGAAGGGGGCCCATACGAGCGTTGACAGGTCGTGGAAGGCTGGACGCGACGACTCGTGCCACCAACAGCAGAAACCCTCTCACGCAGTGCGGAATGCGCACACGGACTGTCCCTCCCGCCGCCTCCTCGTCTTTACACACAGGCGTTATATCAACATCAGGCTGAAGTGTCGCGACCGAGCGCCAGTAGGCGGGCAAGAGGAACAGGACTGTGTCAACGCGATGTCAGTGGCGAGCTGAGGACCGGCGCGCGTTCAACCCACAGTGTCTGGAGACGACACTTCAACGATGCGGCGAGCCTCGGAGAGTCACCAGAGAATGAGAGAGGACGATCTCCCGTATCAGAAGCGAGAGTAGGGAATTATATTGTAGAGGACGGGATCAATCATCACAATCTGCCATCAAGTTGACGCGGAGATTATGGAAGAATACTCCACAACGCCCGGCTTGGAGGATCGCGAAGTGCGCTGTCGTCTGACTGTGATGCTACTCGAGCCCTCCCCACGGCTGATATAGTTCACATCTCCGTTGCGCCTACCCCGACACCGATTGCCGGTCTTTGCGCGTCTGTCTCATTCACCCAGCCATTCATCTCATCGCTCCCACACGCCACCCACGCGCAGGAGGACGGCGTGTGGGACGCGGCGCAGCAGCTCCGCTCCCGCACGACGCGCAGGCACGCAGCGACACTGGCAGGCGCCGCAGGTCGGCAGCGGCTGCGCAGAGCCGCGCATGAGTGACGGGTAACTTACCCTGACAAAGTACAAGCGTGCATCTGGGCAGGGGGATTCCCAGACCTAAAGCATGCATCACGAGCGTAGACTACCGGCGCCCTCTTGCCGTTATCAAATCCGGCATCTTAACCGTTCAAATTTCAACAAGTGACAGCATCAAACAATATGGGTGCGCCAACCACAATGAAGTAGTGATGATCATCAAGAACGAATCCAGTCACCGATTTGAACCCCGCCGTACAACGGACGTGCAGAGCTTAAAGCCTCTGCCTCTCCCCCGCCCTCGCCCTCGCCCTCGCCCTCGCTCTCGCTCCCACTCTCGCTCTCGCTCTCGCCCCCGCCCTCGCCCTCGTCTTCCCTCCTCCTCCAGCCCTGATAGCACACAAAACAAGACACATCATCCTACACGGGCACGTATCACACACAGTGCACACACCAAAGCGCTCGCCCGTCATGCGCCCCGCCCACGCCCACACACCTATTCCGCCTGCGACCGCAGGGGCGCTGGCGGCCAGACAGACGGGCGGACGGACAGGGGCCCGGATCGGCGGCCAGGCAGACTGACAGACGGCACTCAGGCAGACGGACAGGCGGTACTCAGACAGACGGACAGGCAGTCGCTGAGGCAGACGACAGACAAACGGACAGACAATTAAACAGACGGAGACGGGCGGAGAACCGGCCACCTACCTTGATCGAGTCGAAGCAGGCGGTCACCTTGCCGTTCTGCACCTCCACGTGCGGCGGTGGGTGCGCGAACTTGCACTCCGCGTCGCTCCGGCTGCACTTGTTGCGCTGGAACTCGCGGCATGCCTCCAGCTGCAGCCAGCGCGAGTCCTTCATGTTCAGCGCGTTCACCATGTGGTAGCCGGGAGCAGACATTGCGGCCGGGGTCGTTCTCCGGTCGGAGCGGCGCCGAGCACGTCTGCCGGCGCTCGACTGGCACAGGCGACGCGGCCGAGGTCGGAGTCGGCCGCACGCGTCCGGCAGTGCGCTGACCACAGCCGGCGGTGCCTGGGAGTCTCGTGCGGGTCGGGCGGCGGGGCGGCGCGAACCTCCTGCAGCGGGCGCGCCAGGTCCGACTGCGACCGCGCCCGAGCGGCGGCGGCGCGCGCGCGCTCATAGGCCGGGCGGCGGCGCGGCCGGCCGCCATTGGTCGCCGCTGCAGCCGGCACGGCCGCCACTGGCCGGCCTCGCCAAGGTCAGAGCGTTGCAACGGTCGCGGGAGCTGGCGTCCCGGTGGCCTGCTCGGCCGCGTGCGGCGGCCCACGCGCTCAGGGTGCCCGCTCGCCGCCGGCGGCGGCGGCCGGGTCGCGTCGCGCACACCCCGGCGGCCCGAGCGAGCAGCACCGCGGCCTGCGACACACCAGCTGGCCAGCCGGCGCTGAGTCACGCCGCGCACGGCCCGATAATGGGCCTGGTTTGATAACGTCGAGCTCGTTGCCGGTTAAATGGCTTGTCGGCCGAAGCCGACTGGCGCCCCGGGCGGAGCAGGCTTGGTCCTCCCCAGCCGGCCGTGAGCGTCGCTCAAGTCGCTGCCACCCACCGTCTGGGTTGTCAATTCAGCAGTTTGTCTGATTCGTATCAATAGGATCTGGGCGACACAAAAAGTGCGAGCTCCGATGCAGGCTGCACTAGTAACAATGACGAGGCAAAAGTACGCTCGCGATGAATGGGACAAAAAGGGCGTGACCAGGATTGCATCCCGGAAGGAACCAACACGGGTCAAGGGGAGCCATTCCGACCAGGGGGTCTTTCTGATCCCAACTTGCATCCCTGGATTTTGATTCGATAGCTTATTAGGCTTGAGATCCTATTTTGATGGCTCGGGAACCGTTCTTAATTTTGTGTAGACCCTACCTGCGCCTTGAACTATTAAAAGTCATTGAACCTTTCGCCACAGAAGGACTCCACCACCTCCAATCGCGGGCTTTTGTCCTAAAAAGCCCCTCCCTTGGCTAAGCTACTGGAATCAAATCACACATGACAGGAGAAAACCCACAGTTCGACAGCTCTGTTCTGCGTAAATCGTTAAGTCTTCGTGTTGTGATGTTCTCCTCAACTGTTTTTTTCCTTTATTTTCCTCTGTTCTTAAAGTCCGCGTGCATTGCACTGGAGCGTTATCGCGAGTGGGCGCAAACCCCAGCAGCGACCGACGGAGAAAGCCGAGGAAGGTCGGTGAGGCTTAACTGCTGGAGCGAACAGCTCTCTGCGGCGAAATGGTACCGATTCGGCTTATAGCAGCGAGTGTTCGTTCGGCCATGCTATGCCGCACCTTCCAGTCATTGCACGGGTGCAATCAGCTTCGTCCCAAAAAACGTTTGCCGACTGGTTTGACTGATGCCCGGCAGAGGTGTCACCCGCAGGATGTGCCCCCGCCGCCAGTCTCCTGGCTGGTTCGTCTGATGCCCGGCAGAGGTGTCACCCTCTGGATGTGCCACCCCCGCCAGTCTCCTGGCTGCGCCCGTGCCAGGTGTCGTCCGTGGCATGCACCGGTACCTTCATGCGTACAACTCATGACATTATCCTGCTGGCATGGGCGTCATGTGGAGGTCGGTTGGGCTGAGATTGCAGCAATCACACCGTAATTGAGGCGGGCGAAGGTCACTCACACACGGCCACTAACAGTTGCAAGCTGGACCGGGTTCAGCGCCAGTGCCGCGTCCAACAACGGGGCGGGCGCGGTACATGCAGCAGTGCGATCACGATGGACAGGTGTCTCGGACAAGGACACCGGGGCGTGGGCGTAATCGCGAGGGGCCAGGGTCCAGGGAGGCACTAGGGTCCATTGTTCCTGCTGCCGTCCTGTGCATGGGCTGGTCAGCCCTGACGTTACTGACCCCCACACTCCTATCCCAGTGATGGCTGCGCCCCTGCTCGCGCGAAACTTGATTGGAACAGGGTTAGTTCTGGTGCGGCCAGCTGATTTTCGGCTACACTGGCAGGGTTGGCCGGCTAAGCAGCATCACAATCAGCTGATGGCTGATGACTAGTGCAGAGCACCAATTATTTTAGAGTTTATCCAGGTGTATTTAATCGAATCAAACAAAGCAATCAAAATCGAATCCTTAGATACATAGGAGAATGCTCATTTCCTTTCTTTGGAAAATTTGTTAAGGTCTGCCAGTCCCTAGCGAATTCCAAATGTTTCGTCATACAATGCGGTGGCCAGACGGTGATATGGGCATCATGCCCAAGCCCATAGAATGAGCAGCTCCTGAAATTGACCAAACGAAAAAATATCAATGATCACTTAACTCAAGCGTACCAATAGTTGCTTGATCTCTTTTCTTTAGCATTCCCCACGTTCTGGGACGTTTTTTAAGACTTACAACTTATCACTGAGAAAACTGTTTTGAACAAAACATCTTTTTTCACATCATTTTTTTACGTACGTGTTTCAGTATGAATAATGCGGTTGTACTGAAACACGTACGTAAAGAATATAAATTTACGTATATCAGAGACTAGTTTGGTGTGATAAGCAAGATGAACGCTAAGGCTCAGATAACTTATCAAACATCTACCTGAAGCTGCTGTAGCTGCTGCTGAAGTTGCTGCTGAAGCTGTAAGCGTGGCCGAATGGTCAACAGAGTCGATTTAAGGCTCCCAAATCCAGGATTGTTATTCGTGTGCATGCAGTGTTTAACAACTTTGCGTCATCCCTCGGCCGACCAGCCGGGTCGGCATGCCCTGCAGCTGTCCGATGGGTCAGTCGATAGCCGGTTAGCTGCCAGTCTGAAAAATCCTTTGGTCGAAGCAGCCATGGAAGGATATGCGAATATATATTTCGTGCAGTGTCGTGCCCACTGGAACCTTGCATTCCGCAGTCGCAAACGTGTTTGACCCAGGCTTGGCAGGCAGATCTTATAATCGTACGTCAGCTGAATGCGTGTTTGAAATTTGCGGGCAAATATATTGATAAGGCAGCCCTGAATATAGATATGCCCCAAACTAATATCAGTATGCTTTCTAACGTTTTGATTTGAGGCCATCATGAGAGGGCACGATGCCAGCGGGATGGAAACCTAATCCAAAACAGCTAACATCGCTGGTATGAGGCGTCTATATGTAACTTTACAATATGCGCCATAGTTATTACGCTTAGCATACCCCGCTGAATATGCAGAAAACGGCATATCTGGGTTTACCTTGTTAGCAGGCACGACTTCAGCTTCGCAGCGGTATTTAGTTTATTTGGGCTGCGCCGAAGTGTAGCAGTCGTTCACGTCAGATTCAGACTCTGATAGGAGGAAGCGGGCTCGTGGCACGACTCGGTGCCTCCTGGCGTTACAAACCAGTCCACCGTTCAGCGCACGGCCTTCGCCAGCATGCCCGTGTTCTATTCTCCCAATTGGACCGCTTGAGTTGATCAATATAAACAGCGCCTCTGGGTCCTCTGATAAAGTGAGCACTCGCAAGTCTGCAGCAATGGCTGCACACGGCCGCGGTTGATCATGCGGCTTCGCTCCTTTGGGTGTACCTAACGTGCTAAAGGATGGCCGCGCGCGCCTGAATCAGCCCGGCGCTAACTGACACTGGCGAGGCTCGCCAGGCTGACGCAGCGCCGGCCGTTCGCGGGCGTGTTGGCTTACACCGAGCTCTGCAGCCTTGCAGCGCACCCGCCGGCGGCTGGGCAGTTGTGGCCACCGCAAACCGTGCAGGGTCATTGTTCGCCGGAGCCCCCTCACAGATTGGCGCGCACAGGCCGGCCGGGCGATAACGTCAGGCCGGCTCCCAGTCCCAGGCTGTACGCAGCTTACGCTGTCGGACCAGTCCCGTGTCCGATCTTAATGGAGTCGAGTCCAGCTCCAGGAATCCCAGCGGCGCCACTTAGTTCGCATCCGCCGACTTCAGACTGGTCAAACAAAAGTTGGATACTAGTTTGTGTCATGCCAGGGCACATTGATTGAAAATCGTCGGCAGACCGTGTTCCCCGCTTTGTGTCCGGTCAGTACAGAAGTATGGACTAAGTTGACCAAAGTTTTTTGGCGCGACAAACCTGACCATAAAGCGTGACAATTGGCGTTTCTGCGGCTTAAAAGTGGGTGGTGTTGGACACACATCTGAAATCATCCTTGTATTGTAAAACTGCGGTCACAGTAATGCTCTCGCCCAGTGCCAGTGAGCAAAACATATTCACATCTCTGCACTGTGACACAATTAACATAATTAATCTTTTTACTGTTTGCACGCAAATTACCTTTGCAATAGCCGTGTTCTAAAACCCCCATTGCCGGCCATTGTCACCGCAGCTTAAGCTGAGGGCGATTAATTCCAATCAGACGTCGCGCTCAACGGCGCTGTAGCGGCGGCGCGAGGCTCGCCCAGGCTGGCCTGATCCTTCTGCCCGCAGCTGAGACCGCAGGCTGGAGCTGACCGGGGGCGACGGGTCAGCTCCAGCCTGCTGACCGGGGGCGACCGGGCGCTCGCCCGGCAATCAGCAAGCGATCCTTCGGCCGAGCCCTCAGTCAGCCCGCCAGCATCAGACCCCACGAACAAGGTCTCCCCGCCAGCATCAGACCCCACGAACAAGGTCTCCCCGCCAGCATCAGACCCCACGAGAGAACAGAGCCTCCCTGCCAGCATCAGACCCCACGAGAGAGCAGAGTCTCCCTGCCAGCATCAGACCCCACGAGAGAGCAGAGCCTCCCCGCCAGCATCAGACCCCACGAGAGAGCAGAGCCTCCCCGCCAGCATCAGACCCCACGAGAGAGCAGAGCCTCCCCGTCACCGCCAACCAGTTTCCGAGCCCTGCGTCTGTTCGCCGACCCTCCCACGCGCGGGCGTCTGGCGGGATTGCACAAGATCGCGCACTGCTGGCCGCCTCCAACACCGGACGCCCGGCACCGTCCCGTTCGGGCACAGCGTCCCACCTGTCTCCAGGGCGCTGACTCGACTCGACTACACCGCACAACTCGTTCCCAGGGCCGAGCCCGACTCCATGGGCCCCATGACTCGGCTCCAAGGCCTGGTGCGATTCCATGACGGTGGCTTCGCGACCCGGCGGACGGGTGAAAATTTCTAGGAATGTTGCCGGTTCTATTCTGGTTGCAACAGGCCGGC